GATAATGGATCGATTTTGTGAGGGTAGTTAACCCCAGCCACCCCTAAATGAGAAAAAACATAATATTTTTAAATGTACTATAAGTGTATTTAATGCCGCCAAAATCGACAGGGTAGTTTTTAAATTATTCCAAAAAAGTAGGGGTAGTTTTCTACTGCCTCTACTGGGATTGAATATACTGTGTTCTCTAATACAACAAATATTAATTATTATAAGGTTTTATTTCTTAATATTTAATATTAATTATTACAAAACACGTTTTCAAATATTCCGCCATTTTAGTTACACTGCACTTATTGAACTTAATCGAAAGCAGGTGCAACAAAATCTGCACTAACTTGCACCGGCTGCACTAAATAGCACTGCACCTGGCCCAACAAACAGTATGAGTGCAACTGCACTAAACTGCACTAAACTGCACTATCCCCAACGAACACACAACATCTGCACTAAACTGCATAGTGCAAGTGAGTGCAAGTAGTGCAGTCCCAACGAACAAAGCTAATGTATATAAAAAACTTAAAAACCAAACTCACGTCAACATTAAAACTTTGCAAAACATATACAATATTCGCATTAAGATATCAGCAAAGAAAGGTTCTTAACTAGTTAATTGGAATGAACTTGATATTATTAAAAGAAAACTGTTGTTAAACATTGAATTTATAAATCAAGTTTCGATATTAGACGTTAAATTCAAGTTCACAGTGACAAGATGAACTATGGGTAAAGTAGATAACTATTGTTACTGTTAGAAACACAGTATAAATTTGAATTTAAACGAACAAAACAAAAACTTATTGTTAGACAAAAAGTGATTAGTAATAAAATCCAAAAATTATAGAAGTGAAAATCACGAATTCAAAACTAAAAATCATCAAATATTAAAAATAAGTTTAGTTTAAGGGACGTTGGGGCGTGGGGTGCAAGTGGTGCAGAAAATGGGACGCCACCAAGCTCATTTCTCTCGTCCACTTGCACATATTATTAATTTTTAATTGAATTGTATTTATTTAGTTTAGGAAATGGATTCTTCAGGCATGAATGTATAGCGGTTTGGTATTGGGAATAATTTGTTCGTTCAAACTGATAATATTTTGATTGTTCGTGATAAAGCTATTAATTTCGTAAGAATAATTGGTGTAGAAGTTTAATATTTTTATCTTCTTGAAACACATGGTTATTGAAGGTTAAATTGTCTACCGAAGTTGGATTTTGGGCTGACTTTATGTTCGTTAATTCTGGTTTGCAGGTTTCTCCCAGTTTCATCTATATATGTTGCTGAACATGTATCACATTGCAACATATAAACTCCACTCTTGGATAATAGACGTGTTCTGTCTTTGTTGTTAACCAACAAGTTTCTAATGGTGTTCTTGTTCTTGAAAGACATTATTATATTGTTATTGTGAAATATTCTTTTGATTTTGTAGGAAAGGTTTCCCGAGAAGTTAATCGATTTGTAAGTAGTTTCTGCGTTTTTTGTGTTGTCGTGAAGAGAAGTTGTTTTTTCTAAGTCAAGTTTCCTTTGTATTTTATAAGTCTTTGAATTTGTTGGTGTGGAAAACCATTTTCGGTAGCAATTTGTTGGATAATTTGGAATTCCTGTTGTATTTCTTGTTGTTCTAGATTCGAGGTGAAGACTATGTATGTACGATCTAAAAGCTGTAAATTTTTGGTTGTGATTGATAGTACTGGTTTGGGTAGGTTTTCAGTATATAGGGTGTTTCTGTGACTCGGGGAACAAATTTAACCACATATACTAGAATGAAAATGACGACGATTCATGTAAAAAAAAATTAGTAATAGTATTCAAATTTCAAAGATACAGGCCATCAAACTTAGGAAATTTTAACACATTTTTCCAAATATCTTAAACACTATTTACAGTAGAACGCTGAAATTTGGTACAGTATCATTCAATGTAATGTAAAATCGTTAGGCAATTTATGATTTGGATCGGTCCGCGGGAACAATGCTATACATGTTGTGCCTAAAGTTTGTTTGCTCAGAACTTTTTTATTCTATCATAACCCTACATTTATTTTTGCAGTTTCTAATAGTAAATTTAGTTTAGTAACTTTTATTACTGTTAGATAATATTGATAAAAATCACCGTTTTCGTGTTAAATGCAAAAATGTTGGGTTCCGATTTCAATAATAGTACTAAAAAAAAGAAATTTAAGTTTTTGAACATTTCCTTTAGTATTTTTTATTACTTGTCTTGTTATTTTATGTACTTTTTTATCATTCCTGTTAATGTTGTCGTTTTTTTGTTGATTTTTAATTTATTGTTTTTGGATTCTTTTATTAAACTAACTAAAACAAATTAAAAATGTGATTTAGCTAAATCTACACTTGGACATGTTGCATACATAATAGTTATGACAGCTCAGTTCGATTTTCACTTGTCATTGCCAATTCAGATTATTATTTTTTTTTAGTGTTATTGAATTCGAAGCCTAACATTTTTGCATTTAATACGAAAACGGTGGTTTTTATCAATATTCTCTAAGAGTGATAAAAGTTTCTAAACAAAATTTACTATTAGAAACTGCAAAAATAAATGTAGGGTTACGATAGAATAAAAAAGTTCTGAGCAAACAAAGTTTAGGAACAGCCTGTATAGCATTGTTCACGCGTACCGATCCAACTCAAAAATTGCTTAATGATTTTACGTGATATTAGTTTACACTGTACCAAATTTCAACGCTTTATCATAAATAGTGTTTAAGATATTTAGAAAAATGTGTTAAAATATCCTAACTTTGATGGCCTGTATCTTTGCAGTTTGAGGTCTTTTACTATTTTTTTTTATATTAATCGTCATCATTTTCACTCTAGTACATGTGGTTACATTAAATTTGTTCCCCGAGTCACCGAAACACCCTGTATATCAAATTTTATTTTATTTTGACAACGTTCAAGTGTGAAATCGAGAAAATTGATCTTGTTTTCGATTTCAGTTTTCACTGTAAAATTAATTCTGGGATGCAGCCTCATTCATTTTGACTTCTATAATTTTTGGATTTTATTACTAATTACTTTTTGTCTTGTTCATTTAAATTCAAATTTATACTGTGTTTCTAACTATAGCAATAGTTATCTACTTTACCCACAATTCATCTTGGCACTGTGAACTTGAATTTAACCTCTAATATCGAAACTTGATTTATAAATTCAATGTTTAACAACAGTTTTCTTTTAATAATATCAAGTTCATTCCAATTAACTAGTTAAGAACCTATGTTTGCTGATATCTTAACGTGAATATTGTATATGTTTTGCAAAGTTTTAATGTTGACGTGAGTTTAGTTTTTAAGTTTTTTATATACATTATTTTCAATAGTACTTTAACCTTAATTTTTTCTAATGTTACTATCTTATATTTTTGTACATTGTAGGGTCTAATCTACTGATGAAGGGTAGGGCTCGAAACCAGATCTAGACGATAAATTAATAAATTATCACCAAAGTATCATCACATTATTTTTCTTTTAAAATATATAATATATTGGTTGTGTTAATGGACGGTCATTTGATCAGTCGCGGTAGGAATAGGTATTCGTGAAGTGTCAGTGAAGTCAGGAAATTTCAAGAGAAGAAGCTTGAAATACCACCAGATGTGTATCAACCCAACTCTCCTGCCCACCCATTGAAAAAATTTTACGTTGAGAAGATGGCAAATTTATTTGTATGTTTTTGCCCAAAAACACATCAACAATTCAGCCTATCGACATTCCCTCGGTTCATGCCTATGGACAATTTTAGATAATAAACGAATATATTGAAAAAAAATTTTAGACCAAGTAATGGTGGTATTGGAGGGTACCGAAAAATAAGAAAATGAATAGAAAACAGAAAATGATGAGGTAGAAGATACAAGAGGACAACGAACATTGAAAAATTTGTAAAATTACCACTTAATATCCACGATTTTTAATTTCGCGGCTACATGGAAAGAAGTCAAACTCCAAACAATAGAAACTGGGTGAATTTATTTGTTAATTAAGATACAGATATTGATTTAGATGGATTAGAAGCTCCTGATTTTTGCACTGCTGTACAAAATAATATTGGATCGCAAGGTGAGATGAAGCGAGAAAGATAAAACAAGGCCAAAGGTAAAATTATCAACCATCAGATGGCATCTCAATGATATAATAACATTTATAGACGATTCAGGTACATATCTTTATATTAATAATAATTTGGAACTAATTTTAGAGGCATTTAACATACATATAAATGAATCAACACACAGGATTTAAACAAAAAGGAACTAAATATATTTATATAACAGAGAGTGATACAAATTTTACCCCGAAAGATATTCCTGGTGCCGTTGAAATTGACTGAAATGAGTAAAATCCCATCCCAATTACGCAAATATAAATATTACTAGCGACGACGAAAACTTGCGGAAAATACACACCGATTTATAAAATTTAGTGCCTCGCCAAATTTTTGAAACATTTCAAACGAACGAAATTATTACGTATGTATGTGAAGAGACAGTTACATATTCCAGACAAAAGAATGACCACAAGTCTGTCATACAACCGCATGAAATGTGAGCTTATATAGCAATTTTGCTGTTCACAGAATATCACAAATTACCTCAAGAGCGGTTTTATTGGTCAATAGATGAAGACTTGACAGTCTCCTTTGTTTACAATGCTATATCCAGGGACAGATATCTTCAAATACAAAATTTTAAATTTCTTATCTCCAAATAAGACGCTTCCAAGATCGTATGTATAAAATATGACCATTCATGTACAAAATTATTGAAAATGTTTGCAAGTGGGGTTGCTTCCATAAGCAGATATCAATAGATGAATATGGTCAAATATTTTGGTCACAATCCTGCAAAACTATTTATAAGAGGTAAACCTGTAAGATTTGGATACAAAAACTATGGGTTTGATGTGTACTGTGGCAAAAACATAGTGAAATCAAAGATTTTAAGGGAATACTTGGAGCGGAAGTGGTTCCTTGGTTCCAAACCTCATAAAATACATTCCTAACCCAAGAAATCACGAATTTTTTTCGATAATTATTTTACATCGTATCCCTTTATGGTATACTTGAAAGGAAAAGGTATAAGAGCCACCGCAACAGTACAACAAAATAGAATACAGAAATGTCCAATGATGGACTCAAAAACTATGAAAAAATTAGACAAAGGATCATCAGATTACAGGTTTGACCAACAAAATCAAGTTTTGTGTGTCAAATTGAAAGACAACAACGTGTTGTTCATGTTGACCAATTATGACACAGTTGTACCATTTCATTCCGTGAATCGTTAGTCTAAAGCTACGAAATCAAAAGAAAACATTCCCCAGCCAAAATTATTTTCTACATACAATTTCGTAATAAATTTCGTTGTATAGGTTCAGCGTAAACGGGAGGAATTGGTGGTGGGTTTTGTAAGAAGTTACTTGAGGGATGGATCGGTATCAAAGATTCAACGCAAAATAAAAGCCGAATCCAGCGTTGACATTAGAGAGCCACATTTTGCAGAAAAACTTGATAGATGGTTGAAGTGTCACATGAAAGCTGGTCATGTAAAAACTGCAAAGAAACTATGTGCATTGAGAAAGGCTGTTTTGAATCCTACCATACTACTACCTCTCGTCCTCATATGAGGTTGGGTTTTCTTTTATAAGAATGTATTATATTTTTTAATATAGTTTATTTTTTTCTTCACTAATAAACAGATTAATTATTCATCAATTTTTCTTTAGGCGTTAATGGGTTCCACTTTTAGTTCAATAAAATATACACCAATATAGCTCTGAATAACAATTAAAACAGAATTAGTTAGTTCTTGTGCTGGTATTAGAAACATTCGGGTTTAGTGAGTCCTCAGAGCACTGATAGCCTGCGCGCGTGTATTTAAAGAACCACAAACCTTAATGTTAATTTGATTAAAAAAGGATTGTTCAAAAAACACAACGCATTGTCATCAGTTGTCATAGTGTCGAATTAAAAGGTCAAGTTTTAATTTAACTTTAGATTTGTTTGAATTCAAGTTTTAAACAGATAAGATAGTGTATCCTTGATTAGAAAAATTGAAATCAGAAAGAATCTGTTTAAAATATTAAATTCGTACTACGTCTGGAAATAATCAAATTTCTTTTATCAAAACATTTGCAATTGTAACATTACATAATAGTTTTAAGAAAAAAAATTACCATCTGGTTGTACTCTTCTTTCCCATCCAGAAGGTAATGGTCCCAATTGATCCTCATCATCAGCGGTATTAGCGGAAGTCGAGGGCCCCGCGGCGACTTGTTGTGGATACAAAAACCTTTGATTGCCTTGTTGAACAATGTGTTGTCTTTGACCTTGCCATTGTTGATAGTGTTGAAGCCGTTCTGAATTGGGTCGTTGCCATGTGGTTGTTCGGGTATTATGATCGACGTAATAAATTCTTCCCCGCGAATCGCGTCGCATTTCCCAACCCGGTGGAAGTGGTTGGGGTTTCTCCCAAGAAGTAGATCTAAAAGAAAAACAAATTAATTTTTGTTTATAAGATTGAATTGAAAGAAAAAACCTGGTGTTATGATCAACGTAATATCTTCTTCCGTACGAATCAACGCGCATTTCCCATCCTGGCGGTAAAGGTTCTTCAGCTCCGTTTTGAGTTACCTCCGGATTAACTTGAACAGCATTTCCATTTGGCACCGGAGTTATAGGTGGACCAATTGTACCTAAAAATGTTAAAAAAAATTTAAATTAAAAAAAAGGTTAAATAAAAAAAATAAGATTACGGCGTAAAAAAATTACTCTTCGTCTCCAATTACCCATCACCCATTAATGTATCAAATAAATTTTAGCATTAAAATGTAACGAACACTAAAAACGAAAAACACTGTTTGAAAGAGGAGAGGAGGTAAAAAATATTCCGTGACAGGATGAGGAGCACGCTTTCTTTTACCACACTAAACTATGACAGCAGCCGACCGTAACACGTTTACGTAACGCGCCAAAGCAACGTGTATTATGAAATTAGCTCATTTGTATTAGTAATGTGAGATTTGTAAGGATAAATTGGGACGTTGTTATTATTTTTATTGCTTCTATTATGCAAATTAAAAAACGAATAATAATTAAATACGATTGAAATTACTGCGATTCAACTTTCTTGGGAAACAGTTTACGTAGATTTCACAGATAACCTTTGATAGCCTTTCAGACAGGGGGAAAATCAAGTCATTCGATGTAATGGGATGTTCGAATTTTCGATGTAATCAATTAATTTGTTATATAAAATAATAATGGGTAGACTCTTGTAGCAGATTCATCCAAATTAAATAGTGTCGATATAGCAGATCTTAATAAGAAATGTCCGTGCATGTGTTATTTTATAATGAGTTGTTACTTCTAAAGATATATGCCAATAACATACGGAACTTTGATGGCAATATCATATAGATTCATCAACAATGCGAGGTATAAAGTTATACCTAACTACATGGACAAGAGCGAAAAGCTGAGGATACTAAGAAAGATGTATCAACGACTTATTAATTAATTAAGTAACAACAATATGTAAACATCATAATGGAAGAAAAAGAAAATAATAGAGTGGTGATCCTTCTGGCAAGATAATTCGTTTAAAGAGTTATGTTTTGTAAAACAGAATTGATAAAGAGCCTTCTCAACCGATTAGATTTTCCTAATGTAAGGTATTTCTAAAGAATGTTTTTTGATTGCCAGCTTTGTAGAAGACTATTGGATCTAGAAAGAATTTTATGAGAGATATATAGCAGGAGAAGGAACTTAATAACCGGGAATGTTTCTTCAAGTGATTTTGACTATTATAGCTCCATTCCAATAAGAGAAGCATAGTTCACGATTTCACCTACATATTTCAAGCTGTAATTATCCCTTAATTTTAATGATACGGCGATAGAATTTTGAATTTGAAACATTTTTCATTTAAATCACAAATGACGTATTTACTAGCTATATTCCATACCTTTGTTCCACCCTGTATATCAAATCATTAATGAAAGATTTAGGCCTAAGAGAAAACATTATCACACTTCAGCCTCGGCGGCAAGCGACCTCGGCACAAAGTTATAACCCCGCTGTCTTGGTATATAAATAACTATTATCGTCAAATGCACATCATATCATCAATGAGAGGTACTACATCTAGAACAAGACATTGTATGTATTTAGTAATACATGAATGCAAAACACCATAAAATTATCAAAACAAGAAAAACAGATACATAAAAGAAAGAAAAAATTAACAAGGAACATGAACACTGAAGATTTTACCAAAATGTAAGCATCGAAAGAAAGGGGAAGAGTTTCCAAAAACACCAATGTGCATAGATTACAAAAACACGAGCAAAACATTACTGAGCAATAAGGAGGATGTATTGAACAGATGAGCATAACATTTAGAAAGCCTCTTTAACCAAAATGTAGGATAGGCAGCAAATACATATGAAACAAACTATATCCAAGAAAGAGAAGTGACAATAACCAAAGAAGACCGGGCGGTAAAAACTTTTACAGCCTTGAGCTGCAACATACTAAATTACGCCCTAAAAACTAGTTCATAAGTAGGCAAAAATCGCCCGACCGGATATAAAAATATTAAGACACTTCCAGTGAACTACAAGAGTAATAAATGCTCCTGGATGACTTTTATTATCTTTTGAGAAGAGAGAGTCTTATACATTAAAAAATGTTTTTATTACTTTTGGCTTCTTTTGTCTCCAAGTTCAGGGTTGATGGCGCCCATTGACATGAAACGAGAATACGAGTATCAAATCAAGTTCTTCTTCATCATGGTATATAAGACACTAAAGTTTTCCCATCAACCAAGGATTTGGCTACAATGTTTTCATATTGTAAAGAAATTCTGGGAATAACTGCTTTATTTTTCTCACAGTTTCAACATAAGACATTTTTTTCCTTTTTAAATTATCGATTAGATCCATATAGATAAACCAATTATCTGCTGCAATATTATGACAGGATCCAAAGAAGAGGTTAGCCATTCTTTTTACTATCTCACATGGTTTATTGCTGATAGAAAAAGCAGTTTACTGTATAAATCGTCTTGGCATAAACAAGAGCAAAATATTTTATGTCGTTTTTGTTTAGATGTAAGTACAGCCGAAATTTGTGCAGCCCCTCTCGTTACCGCGATCTATAAGATCTATTGTAACTTAAGCCCTCCAAAAGTTTAGGGCAAATGTAGGTCCTTTATGAACCTACAAAAGGAAGGTCTTGTTCCTTTTTGTCGGTAGGTGTCAGGCGAACTTTACCGAAAATTTTGTGTCTTAGACGGCCTCTGGCGACGCATTCACACAGTATATGTTCAGCAGTTTCTAATTCGTTGTTGCAAAGTCGACATGATTGATCTTCAGGTTATCCAATATGGAAGAGGTGGTATTGATTGTAACCATTCTAGCTATACCTGTCAAGCGAAATACGCTTGACGTAGGGTTAAAAGTCTATGGAGATCAAAATGATGACGATATTTTGGAAGTTTATTTTAAAATGAAATTTGGAAGAAGATGTTGAACAAACAGAAAACAAAATCCTGTAGTACCTAAAAGTAAACCAAGAAACTTAAAAAATTAATCCATCAATATCAAACGTAAAATTGAATGGACGGCACAAAAAAAATTGTTTATAAAATATAAACCTTTCATTTATCTACATATATATGTTTATCATTCTAAAATTATTTCACCTTAGTCGGTACATCAATAAGCCTTTGTTATTTTTACAAAGTCATCACTTAATCATTTTGGGTGAATTAAGCAACAAATAATCTCAAGTAATCAAAATTCGACGAAACACAATCAATTTGAAACATGAATTGAAACCAAAATACTACATAGAAACAATCCTATAGGAGCCCACACAATGCATTCGCCTTGATAACTTGACACCTTGACTATCAGAAGGAGTAAAAATTAGATAATGATATATAGAGTAGGAATGTGATAGTAAAAATTATGTCGTTGTGATTCTTTTCCTTTCCAAGATGGGTAATATATTTCGTTTAATTTATTTCTATAAATATTTTTATTTAGTTTATCGAAAGGCTGCTAGCTAGGAATGGACTATCCTGAAAATAATACTGCAACAAAACAATTAGATAACAACAAAAGAAAAAGAGATGAATTGTCACCGCAAAAGCGTTACTCATGGGATCCTAAAATCCTATTACAAAACAACAAATATTATCCATTAACAAGTATTAAAAGATATTAAAACAAAAGTAACCAAAGAATTTACAACTAAATACCCAGAAATTACTGTTTCAAACAGTCGAAATGCGTTAAATGTGGAAAAAGCCATTTAACCAAGAACTGCGTAAAAGATAAAAAAGCCCCACCAACATGTGCTAATTGCGGCGGTAATCACCCGGCAAATTATAGAGGTTGTACGGTTCACCAAAACTTACAACAACGCCGAAAGACGAAAACCACCCTTACTCAGAACGCTAATATGAATCTTCAAGCAAACAACGAACACATCACCGTAAAAAGCTACTCACAAATTTTAAAACAACAAAACATAAACACTAGTCCCACATCTAGTTCTAACCATAGTCCTATATCCTCACCCCTCACATCCACAATTACAGATACCATTATCAAGTTTCTAAGACCTTCCTTACACCAGTAATAACACAAATTAAATAATTCATCGCAAATTCCCTACTTCCTAACCTTATCAATGGATAATAACAGCCGAATCATGAACGGATAGATATCATCGGTATGAACTGGAACGCAAACGGAATAAAGAATCAACGTACGGAAGTCATTGAATTTCTCTATTGTCATAACATCCAAATAGCTTGCATTACTGAAACACATTTAAAACAAAGTGAAAGATGCAACATAGCAGGATACAACCTATACAGAAAGGACCGGAATTCTACAACAGCAGCCGGTGGAGCTGCTATTTTAGTTAAAAAAGGAATACAGCATGAAGAACTAGAATTAAAGGGTATTCAACATCTAGAAACAGTTGGCGTTCAAATAAAAACGATAGATGGTATCAACTTGAATTTAGTTTCTGTTTACAAGCAACCAAACAAATCATTGATACAAAACGACATAATATGTATATTTAACTCTAATACTCCGACTCTTGTGATAGGCGACTGAAATTGTAAAAATAAAATATGGGGATGTCGTACTAATAACCCAAATGAAATTAAATTAGAACAAATCGTGGCAGTAAATGCATTACAAATAATATCACCTGAAGAATACACTTATTATCTCTACCCACGAGATCGACTACCAGACATAATTGACATTATCATTCAAAAGAACTTCAACAAATCAATAGTTCAACACGTACTCAAGCTCAGATCACGTACCAGCAATCATATCATTCCAGAGTATTTCAAGAAGTTATGAACTACCACCAACATGAATAACTGGTAAACTAAACTGCGAAATTTTTCGTGAAACTCTGGATCGTATAGATAAAATCCCAATTAATGTCGATTGTAAAGAAGGAATAGACCAAGCAATTTCCAATTACACAAATAATATATGTGAAAGTGTAAAATCATCAACAATTCTCTATAGAAAACGAAATTGTAAATCTTTTCAAATAGTGACAGCAGCTGCAATATTAGAACTAATAAAACAAAAAAACAGACTGACACGAGAATGGTAACAAACGAGGAGCCGTGAAACCAAAAACATGATAAACAATTTGACACATCGCATTAAAAAAGAACTCGATTTATTTCGCTTTGAATGTTATCAACAACAAATAAGAACACATGACAAAAATGATCCCGGTATGTGGAAAACAACAAAAAAACTAATACAACACAAGCAGAATATAGGCCCTATCAAAGATGGACAAAATACACTTTATTCAGATACTGAAAAAAGCAATCTATTTGGCGATTATTACTTAAACCACGAGAGCTGGCAGTGACAGATCGCTTAAAAATGGTATGAATCAAGATATGGACGTATGACTTAGATTATTTCACCACATACATTTAAATGTAGGTTATGTTAGTAATGGTGGTTATATGTCAAACATTGTCAAAGATATTATTTAATGATTTTCCTTTCAAAGAAAACATTTTCGGCTTGTGAAAACACTAACAGATTCATGACAACGCTCACAAGACGTTTCGATTTGAGGTTATAATTATAGAGTTACATCCCTTAGAAGAACAAACTTACTTTTTCGACGTGGCCATTTGAATTGTACAGCAGACATATTGAACTAACGCTATCTCTTTCTAACACACATTACTCTCTAGCGGTTTATGAACTACGTATGGCATTTGTAAGAGCGGAAAACGATGATTTACTGCCAGCTCTCGTGACGTCTACTATACTTAGAAACGGTTTTTTGCCCTTCTACAACAATTAAAAATACAGTCGCTAATGAAATAGAACCAACATCACCCGATGAAATTAAGGAACTTATCAAACAACTTCCTAAAAAGAAATGTCCGGGGTATGATTTGATCACAAATGAAATTTTAAAGCAACTCAGTAATAAAATATAGTACTTTTAACAACACTTTTCAAAGGCTGTCTAAGAAATTGGTATTTTCCAGATAAATAGAAGCATGCCCAAATCGTGGTTTTTCCAAAACCAGGAAAAAACCACAAACAAGTTTGTGGTTTGCTAGTGAGTCTATCTAAAATCTTGGAAAAAGTCATTCAAAACCGACTGAAAACAGAATTATTGTCAGAAAAGACTATCCCGCCATATCATTTTGGATTCAAAGCTAAACACTCAACGTGTCATCAACTGCAAAGAGTTACTGAAGCCATCGCAAGGGGATTTGAAAGGAAACAGTATACAGCAATTGTTTTCCTGGACTTTGCCCAAGCGTTCGATAAAGTCTGGCTGAAAGGCTTAAAATACAAACTGCTACGTCTAAAGCTAAATCCATACCTAACAGCTATATTATTCTCCTTCCTTGAAATACGAACGTTCCAAATTAAAATAAGCAACCAACTATCAAGAATGAAAACCATAAAAGCTGGAGTACCTCAGGGTAGCGTATTAGCACCATTGCTATTCAATATACAGGGTGTCTCACGTAACTGGTTCGTTAGAACTTTTTTAGGTTCCACTATTCATAGAGGTTTGAAATTTTGGTAGCATGGGTTGTTCAGTCNTTCCAAAACTTGGAAAAAACCACAAACAAGTAGATGGTTATCGCCCGATTGGTTTGCTAGTGAGTTTATCTAAAATCTTGGAAAAAGTCATTCAAAACCGACTGAAAACAGAATTATTGTCAGAAAAGACTATCCCGCCATATCAATTTGGATTCAAAGCTAAACACTCAATGTGTTATCAACTGCAAAGAGTTACTGAAGTCATCACAAGGGGATTTGAAAGGAAACAGTATACAGCAATAGTTTTCCTGGACTTTGCCCAAGCGTTCGATAAAGTCTGGCTGAAACGCTTAAAATACAAACTGCTACGTCTAAAGCTAAATCCATACCTAACAGCTATATTATTCTCCTTCCTTGAAATACGAACGTTACGAATTAAAATAAACAACCAACTATCAAGAATTAAAACCATAAAAGCTGGAGTACCTCAGGGTAGCGTATTAGCACCATTGCTATTCAATATATACGTTCACGATATTTCAACTGTCTCAGGAATGCTATCAATGTTTGCAGACGACATCGCCAGAATTAGCCAGAACAACAATATTACTAATACAACCAAGTCACTACAAAATGATATAGATATCGTATGCAAATGGGATAATAAATGTGGAATTGCAGTAAACCCAGCTAAAACACAATTAAAGATGTTCTCACTACGAAGATTCCGAGAACTTCCAGCGATATTAACAAATAACCAAGCTGTGAAATGGTCAAATGGAGCTGTTAAATATCTTGGAGTATATCTCGATACCAGACTTCACTGGGGGTTTCACATTAATCAAAAACTTAATGAAGCTAATGTGCGATTAAACCAACTATATCCTCTAATAAACCGAATGTCACAATTCAAAATAGAGTGCTCACTTTTACTCTATAAGTCACTACTAAGATCATTGTTAACTTATGCCAGTTGTGTATGATCAAATATCTCAAAAACTAATCTCCATAAACTACTTACAAACGTTTCAAAATAAAATTTTAAGAATAGCAACAAATGCACCATGGTATATTAGAAACGACCAACTTCATAAGGAACTTAACATTCCATAAATAACTGATTTTATCAAAAATCTTAGAGAAAAGTTCATTAAAAATTTAAAAAACTGTGAAGGAGCAACATATTATAACCTTGGACAGAAAAACATCCACATTCGACTTAAAAGAAAACTGCCACAAGATTTAGTCACCAATCACATAAGTAGTGAAGAGGAGACAACTGATTAACCTCATACAGTACAAAGAAATAAAACATTAATATTAAATATTATAAATATTGTGTATAACATATAAAAATGTTGATCCAATAAAAGTTGAAATTTAAAAAAAAAGTTCAATATCTCAAAAACGGTTAAGTTTAGGTTTATGATGTGCTACATGAATTTTGTTTAGAATTTCGAGATGAACCGAAATATGAAATCATTTACAGGGTGTTCCATTAAAGAAAACGTAACTTTGTTTCGTCATAACTTTTTGACTGACCCTGTATACTTAATTTGTCTTTATTGTAATAGATTTTAAGACACTAAAACTTTTGTATCTTAATTTTTTGCTAGCTATCTTACTTTAGGAGATAACCAACTGTTTCCATAGCGACCCTGTATAACCTTGTTGAAAAAAAAATTTATTTAGTAAAAAAAAGTTATCGATCAAATCCACTATTATTAAAATAAACCTTTCAAGGACCTATTATTAATTAATTACATTTCCAACAAAAACACTCCAATAAAAAATGTTATCAGCGACGTCTTAAAAGATAAGAGAAATCAGGACGCAAATAACAAAAGATGTGACTCACCATAAGGAACACTATTTGAACTTGTTGATGTAAAAGCAGGCGCCGCTCCACTTGCAACCATTGGTGGTTGTTGAGGAGGCTTTGGTTGCTGCGGTTGTAAAACAGGTTGCTGTGGCTGTAAAATGGAGTGTTGTGATTGCAAACTGGTTTGCTGTGCTGGCTCTAAAAAGGATGTCTGCACAACCGCGGGCGGTGGCGGAGGAGCTGGTCTAATAAAAGAATTTGATCTTCTTTCCCCATTTTGAGATTGAGTAGCAGAAATATCCGCCCCGGGAACCCTTTCTTTAGCTTTAACCCCGTTCAAAACGCTTCGAACATTATCAAATTCTGGATCTCGGACAGATGTTGTTGAAGTATTGGCACGTCTTGGATTTGTCATATCCACTCTTAAACCGCTAAAAACGCAAATTAACTCCCCTGTTTTTGATGGGGAATCGCTTTGCTTGCTTTCATTGGTCAGATCTATAGTTAGCTCCAAATTTTCACATCTTCCATGATGAATAGTGAGAAGTTGTTGGAGATCGACCTTTTTCTCACCAAGTACAGTGTCTTTCCTGAAATTGTTGTGATCAAGTACACTGAAATTTATTTTCGATTGGGGAGTAACAAGAACAGTAAATGTTTCGTTCCATTTAGGTTGAGAAGTTGTTTTGACGATTTCTGTTCTTCTCGGACTGTGATCATCTATAGATACTTCAACATAAGGACTTGGTTTCATAAAGCCAGTTTGTCTCAAATGAGCGCATTCAACTAAAAAATAGAAAAAACGTTCTTTAAGGTTTCCAATTTTGATTTAATGAGGTATAAACGTACCAGCGATGCGTAACTGGTGCAAACCAGGTGGATCCGTCACCTCAGACATGATAAGTAATCATTTAACCTAAACACACAAAAGGAACAATCGAAACGTAACCTGAAACTAAAAATTAATCACCCTCACAGCACAGTTTATTTTTAATTTTTTTCGTTGTATCTCTATTTCTTCTGTTGTTGCGTTACATAATTAAAGTAAAGAACGGGTGATGATCGTACGTATGCAAAAAAAAACGGGCCACGGGAATTTAGCGACGATTAATTTTTATCACGTTTTATCACAAAATACTGCTGCTTAACAAATTACCACTGACGTCAGACGATTCCGTAGAATTATAATGACAACGCCGGCGTCTCGTTTGCGCGATGTTCATCAGCGTATTTATGTCTGCACGTGAAACTTGGTGTTTTAGTATCGAGACTGATTCGAAAAATCATATTTTTGCTGCTGTTATAGGTCCGATGTTAAAATTGGACTTTTATTTACACCTTGACAGCAGCCTTCAAAGGCATCGCTGGTGACACTCAGTATAACCAATCTAAAAATATATTTTACCCCACATAAAGATTTTGTTCGTCATTAAGCAAATAATACATTTCAACATAAGTTTTAATATGTTATAACTTAAGTGATTTATAACTAACTTGTGGGTGATAAGATTATATTTAAATAGAAACATTAAGTGTAAAAGAACAAATATATAATCTAGGGTTATTTTGTTTCATCCTAAAATGTTTTGAGAAATGAAAAGCGGTAAATTCAAACAATGTTAAATTTTAAGTTTGATATTTGGACGGTAAAAGGTAGAAGGGGTAGTATCTTTTTTACTCAAAATACTCCGGGGAATTCAAAAATATACTTGAAATTCTATTACATTGAGTTGCATAATAGCCTCCAGAATTAAAACAACCCTATTTTAACGACTTTAGAGTGTGATAACACAAAATCTTTTTTATATCAAGAACGGTTAATGATACAACTTTTAACAAAGAGTACTATTTTTATTTAAAACACTTCAAAGAATTCAAAAATGCTCTCAAAATTAGAATTGAATCCGTAGTTTAGATGTTATGGAGTGTAGAATTACGAAATCTTCAATTTTTGTATTTTTCTACAAAATCGTTGATATCATAAAAACGATTTGCGATGCAACTTTTGATGAACAATGCTTCTTTACGTAAAATTCACCAAGAAATTCCAAAATGTAGTCGAAATTCGAAAATATACAGTTTTATAAAAGATATAGGCTCCAGACTGAAAATATTCCCATTTTAACGGTTTTTAGTGTTTGTTAACACAAAATCTTTATTATCTCAAGAACGGTTAATGATACAGCTTTTAGCAAAGAGTCTCTTTTTTATTTAAAACACTTTAAAGAATTGAAAAATGCACTCGAAATTATAATTGAATCAGTGGTTTAGATGCTATGGAGTGTAGAATTACGATATCTTCAATTTTTGTATATTAACAACAAAATCGTTGATATCACAAAAACGGTTTGTGCTACAACTTTTGATGAACAGTGCTTTTTTACGTAAAATTCACCCAGGAATTTTAAAATGTAGTCGAAATTTGAAAATATACAATTTTATAAAAGATATAGGCTTCAGAATGAAAATATTTCTATTTGAACGATTTTTACTGTTTGTTAATACAAAATCTTCTTTATCTCAAGAACGGTTAATAATACAGCTTTTAGCAAAGCGTACCTTTTTTATTTAAAACACTTCAAAGAATTCAAAATTCTACTCAAAATTAGAATTGAATCAGTTGTTTAGATGTTATGGAATGTAGAATTACGATATCTTCAATTTTTGTATTTTTACAACAAAATCGTTGATATCACAAAAACGGTTTGTGCTACAACTTTTGATGAACAATGCTTTTTTACGTAAAATCCACCGAGAAATTCAAAACTGTAGTCGAAATTCGAAAATATACAGTTTTATAAAAGATATAAGCTCCAGAATGAAAATATTCCCATCTGAACGATTTTTACTGTCTGTTAACACAAAATCTTTTTTATCTCAAGAACGGTTAATGATACATCTTTTAACAAAGAGTACCTTGTTTATTTAAAACACTTTCAAGAATTCAAAAATGTACTCAAAATTATAATTGATTCAATGGTTTAAATGTTATGCAGTGTCAAATTACGATATCTTCAATTTTTGTATTTTTACTACAAAATCGTTGATATCACAAAAACTGTTTGTGCTACAACTTTTGATGAACAATGCTTTTTTACGTAAAATTCAACGAAGAATTCAAAAATGTACTCGAAATTCCAAAAAAATCAGTTTTATAAAAGATATAGGCTCCATAATGGAAATATTCTCATTTGAACGATTTATACTATTTATTAACACAATTTTTTTTTATCTCAAGAACGGTTAATGATACAGCTTTTAACAAAGAGTACCTTTTTTATTTAAAACACTTCAAAAAATTCTAAAATGCACTCAACATTATAATTGAATCAGTGGTTTAGATGTAATGAAGTGTAGAATGACGATATCTTCAATTTTTGTATTTTTAGTATAAAATCGTTGATATCATAAAAACGGCTTGTGATACAACTTTTAATTCATAGTACTCTTTTACGTAAAATTATCCGAGGAATTCAAAAATGAACTCGAAATTCGAAAATATACAGTATTTTAAAAGATATAGGCGCCAGAATGAAAAATATTCCCATTTGAACGATTTTTACTATTTGTTAACACAAAATCTTTGTTGTCTCAAGAACGGTTAATGATAAATGTATTCAAAATTAATATTGAATTAGTGGTTTAGATGTTATGGAGTGTAGAGTTACGATATCTTCAATTTTTGTATTTTTACTACAAAATCGTTGATATCACAAAAACGGTTTGTGCTACAACTTTTGATGAACAGTGCTTTTTTACGTAAAATTCACCGAGAAATTCAAAAATGTAGTCGAAATTCGAAAATATACAGTTTTATAAAAGATATAGGCTTCAGAATGAAAATATTCCCATCTGAACGATTTTTACTGTTTGTTAACACAAAATCTTTTCTATCTCAAGAACGGTTAATGATACAGCTTTTAACAAAGACTACCTTTTTTATTTAAAACACTTCAAAGAATTCAAAATTGTACTCAAAATTCGAAAATATTCAGTTTTATAAAAGATATAGGCTTGAGAATGAAAATATCCCTTATTTTAACGTTTTTGCGAAATCTTTTTTATTTGGAGAATCCAAAAATGTGCTCAGCAGAAGTCATGCTCTACTAAAAGAATAAAGAATGTAGCAGTCCTTTTATATTTTAGTCCTTGGGGTTAATAAAGATTACAATTTCTTCATTAAATACTTTATTTAAATATATTCTCTCATAAGTTTGAGGATGGAGTATAAGTTAATAACTGAATAAATATAATGCTTATTAATAAATGTTAATAACAGCACGTGTAGACTAGAAATTACAATTTACCTGAAATACTGTAATACAATTTTAAATAATAAGAATAATAATAGGTATATTTATTTTTTTTACAATAATAATAAAGGTAAAAGTTAAAATTACTTTCGTTTTCTAAAATAGCATATTTGTGCGTTACTAAACCTTAAAGGGATTACGTGGATTCAATCCCGTAATTTTCGAGTCCTCTAAAACAAAAAAATTTACCATAAAAAATGAACAATAACCAACATTGAGGATAAAAACATTACTCTTCATCGGATTTTTCAAAATAATCATAATCCATCTCTTTAACCATTAAAATTTCGGGATCTTGTATGCCATGGACGTTTGCTAAATCTAAAAATTTCAATAAATAAACCAAAAATACTTAAAAAAACAAAAATTACCTTCTAAAGGTGGTACAACAGCTGTACTAAGATACTCTGTATTTAAATAAGGAGGGAGTTCATTATCGTCTTCATCAACTTCTGGTTCTAATTGATGCGAATCTACCATTTGTAACCATTGGGCATTGTGATTACGGAATTTTTCAATCCGTATACGATCAGCCCATGTTGCGTTACATTCCGCAATCGCATTTAAACACGTGTTACACACGCGACGTATCGCTTTATTATTGTCTTGAAGTAAATCTATTAAATACGCTGGAGCTTCTATAAATTAACAAAAAGTATTTATTAATGTTAACATAATATTTAAAATTTTAATTTCACCTGTTTTATTTATAATATAATCAACCGTATCTCCATGTGATAACATAATCATAAATATATAAACGATTTGTAAAACAATTTCGTCATCTTCTTGATGAGTTTTCAATAAATCGATAAGAATCAAAGGCAATTCAGCGTTGCAAAGCAACAAGGAACATCCCTCGTCGTGTACCGCCGTTCCTAATAAAATAATAACCTGTAAAATCATATCCGGTTCCATCGCATTGGACGTTAAAATATTTTTAACCCAATCGACCATATCAAAATGTTTAAAAATTTCCGCCCAATCCAAATCGGGAAGGTGTAAATTCGAGAGTACCCCCAACGATTCTAAAATGAATTCGTCTTTTTTCGATTCGACCGCTGCTTTTGCGAGATCCCCGACGAATTCGATAAAACTCGACCGGATTTGGTCGTGTTCCGAAATATTATGGATCATCTTCATTAAAAGTGAATCTTGGTAAGCGAAAGCACGGGTCATTAAGGAGTGTAAACGGCTACTATCAGCCATTTGTTGGGCGTTACTTGGGTTTGTAGCTAAATTTATTAAAAGAGCGACTATTATTTGATCTGCGTCATCTCCGGCACTTAATAGAAGCATATCAGTAATCTAAAAAATCGAGATTCTTAGAATTAGGTTAAAAAGTTTGCAACGATTTTTTAGATGTTCATCATAAAATATTACTATTTAAATGTAACAAAGTCAAATAAATGTTACGATCGTTTCGTTTTAATAAAACATCGTCAGGGAAGGTGTCAAAGAATGAAAATGAAACTCAGGCGAAAATCTAACAACTAAAACTACAGTCGGTACGATATTTGCTGAGTCAAGATTCACAGAAATGAAAAAAATAATGCTTTGAAAGCAACAGTTGTTTACTGCTTGATATTTGCAAGCAGTGGCGTACTTTTAAATTTTCCATTCTGGGAATATTTTTTGCACGTTTTGATGAATATCTCAGAAAATAATCAACTGATCTGTAGCAACGTTGATCTTTTTTGAAAAAAATGTTTATTATGCTCTAAGTCAAGTTTTTATTTCGTTTAAAATAATTTGTGATCCATAAAAGTATCTACTGCTGACAGCAATATCCAATCTGACCTAAAGGTGTTTTGGGCTTTTATTAAGTCTAAGAAGCGTGTGGCTGTCATTACTTCTACGTCATGAAGTAGAACTGTTGTTGGGGTTTGCTCATTGTACACTGATTTCTTGCATTTTCTAGTAGAATGTAGATTGTGTGAAAGCAGATACCCTTCCTTTGGGTAAGATGCTGTTTGACAAGATTGAGAAGGCTTTGATGGGTATCATGGTTACTGACAGTATTGGTACTGATGATATTCCATCAATTTTAATCAAAGAATGTTCATTCTCTGCCGCTTCGTTTAACTATTTTATTTAATGCCTCATTGATAATTGGTGTCTTTTCTTCATTGTAGAGAGAAGCGAGCTTGTATTCTTCCCATTTTTAAATCTGAGGATCGTGGTGTTATATCCAATTACCGCAGCATGTTTATTTTGCCAAGGTTTTGGAAAGTGTTTGAGAGAGTAGTTCAAACACGTCTATTCTTTACTCTTAACTACTATACCTACTATACCAGAATAATGACGAATCCGGTATTGGTATTAAACGCACGTGTAGGTATCTTAATTTTACTTAATTACCAATTAATTTTCTTGATTTACGATGTGTAACACTTAAACAAAAAAGAATAGCCTTAAAAGTATAAAAAACGCTAAAAACTAGTTTCGACGAGGAGCGGCTATAAAAAGGAAGCCAAAGAAGTAAATAAGTCAGTCGTAGTTTAATATTTAATATTATTTTGATAATTGTGTTATATTTTGATAAAACGTTTACGAGATAATAGTAAATTATAGTTTGTTAGAGTTATGAAAAAGATTAGGAACGATTGAGGAGAATTTCGGAACAATTAGAAGAGGAGGAAAATGAAAATAGTGTTCAAAATGATCAAGATGATGCTAGGAAGGCAAATAATGTTGAGGAGCGCGAAAAAGATTCCGAGTCAGAGCAAGAACTTCAATCAGAATTGGGCAACAACACTTCTTATAATTGTCCTACTGCTAACAAAAAAGTAAAATTGATGGAATCTTTCTTTATCGGAAAAGACACCCTAAAAAATGGAACAAGCATAAATATTTTGGATATTTGGCCATGGTTTTTTTACCAATGAGATTATAAATCTTCTTGTTGAATGTACTAACTTATCCATAAATCAACATCAGTAGTCTAGTGGATATAGAACAGCAACTACTACCGAAAGAATTGAAATAAAAGGGGTCATTGGTCGGACTCCTTTCATCAATTAAACGTAGAAGATTTATGGAAAACTAACGGCACATCTATAGAAATGTTTAGGCTATGATGTTGTTAGAAAGATTTCGATTTTTCTTAAAACATTTGAGGTTTGATAATAAAAATACTCGATCTGGAAGGATAATAATTGATTAAATTAGCAGCCATACGAGATTTGTCCGAATTGTTTATTTCTAACTGCAAGAAAAATGATTCGCCATAAGAGTACCTACACTACTGTTGACGAAATGGTCCCGAGCTTTTATGAAAAATGTAATTTTCGGCAGTATATTCCAAGTAAACCTGAGAGGTACGGCATCAAAACATTTGCTTTAGTTGATGCTAAAGCTTTTTATACAATGAATAGGGAAGTTTACGTTGGAAAACAACCCTCTGGACCATTTTGTGTTGAGCGGAAAAGCAGTTGTTGAGCACCATAAAAAAGAACAAGTGAGAACTACCACGTAAGTTTATAATTGGTGTAAGACCAGCAGGTATAAGTATGTTTGGATTTGCAGAAAATTGTACATTAGTGTCGTACATTCCAAAAAAAAAAGGAAAAAATGCTCTGCTCGTATCCACTATGCATGACGATGATAGCGTAGAGGAAATTATAAAAAAAAAACCTGAAATAATTATGTTGCACAATAAAACGAAGGGTGGTGTTGACACAATTATGTTCCAACTATAACTGTGCCAGAAACACAAGAAGGTGGTCTATGTTAATTTTTTATCGTGTATTGAACATAGCTGCCATAAACGCTTTTTCTGTGTACAGTTCAAAAAATCCTGGTTCAAATATGCTTCGAAGAGTTTTTCTCGAAAAACTTTCATTTGATTTGGTAACAGATCATCTGAAGAGGCGTGTAACAACTCAACAAGTGCCATATTTAACCCGAATGCGCATAAAAATAATCTATAATCACAGAGTATGGTAGATGTTCTTTAAGGTACGTTTTCCTCCATGGTCGCAGACGACTGCGACTGAGTAGCGACGACTGATTGGCTGACGAATTTTTTATTAGGTACGGTTTCCTCCATGGTCGTCAGTCGTCGACGTTTAGTTCGCAAGTATACAGTGTACAGGGTGATTCGCATAAACTTGGGGATTTATTCCTCATGACTCATGACACATAATGAGTGATGGGTAAAGAAAATTGTAGCAAAAGTTTTTTAGTTTCCTAGATATCCATGAAATTTACTTTCAAATCAAGAATAGTTATAAGATTTTATAATGACATTAAAGCAAGTGTTCCAAGTTGGGCTCACTGAATCCACGATGTCCCACTAGCGCGGCCTGAATCAGAGTGTTATCGGATTGCCTCGGCAACAGTTTGTATCTGATTTCGCAATCTTTGCTCAGTATTAAGTTCCTCAGTATTCACTTCCTCGGATGCAATGTTAAATGCCTGTGTTAACCATAGCACAATCTTGATTTTGTAATCATTCATAGTGTAACCACAGTTTACATTACATACTTTGTAATGTTTACCCTGTTCTAACTCTTTTATCCTTACTTTGTCGAACGTTTTAGTTAGAACAACGAAACAGAGAAAGGCTGCCTGATAAAATTTGTGTAGGCAACTCTTGCAATCAGAAAGACGTGAGCAAACGACACACTCAAATGTGTGTAAACATTTTTTTGCAGAAGATGAAATAAGTATGGTGGTATCTGTTCTAAACAGATGAGATAGTTTGGTCTTGCTGTGTAAGATGATTTCTGGAAGCAAAGACTGTACGCTTTGGAGATGATATGATAATGCGGTCTAAACCAGGGTATTGGCGGATTATTTCGGCAGCAGTTTGTATCTAATTTTGCAATCCTTGCTCAGTAAACCCAAATTGAACCCAAAAATAAAAATCAAGAGGATTGAGGTCGGGCGGTTGAGATGGCCAGGCACCTTATCTAGATGTCGCCGCATATATCGGATATTTAGGAAAAAAAATCGTTTACTACAATCTTTTTATCTATTAGCCATTATTTGTCATGAGGAATAAATCCCTAAGTTTATGCGTATAGGTTAAGAATCACCCTGTATATTGTGTATTTTCCTAGACTCGAGACAAAACTTATAAAGATAAACGTACGCCAAAGAAATTTGATTTTAATGTTGTTAAATTATCAAGAAGAAGAGGAAAATTTACTTCTTTCTTTAGTTTTGGAAAGTGAAGGAAAAAAATATCATCCATGTTTCAGCGGAGAAAATTGGAAAGATTTCAATCAATATTAGTAAACCAGTATTTAAAAGCGAATGAAACAAGATTTAAAGAGTTTTTTCGAATCGCACGCCATCAATTTCGTTATATATTGGAACTCATCCAAGATGATCTTATAACAAAACCGTACAACCGTGTGAAGGATCCAATTGACAAATATGTCATGAAACCTTACCCAAAAAAGCTTTAAAAGTTTTAGAGGACAAAAAGAAAGCAGTTTTTAATTACAGACTGTCTCGGACTAGAAGAGTAACAGAAAACGCTTTTGGTATATGTATTACGAATTTTTTTTCTCCTAATAATGTAAAATCTAGCACTGTTGATCTAATTATTCTTGCTTGCTGTTGTATACATAATATGTTGGGTAACGAATGTACACTTAACAATCCGAGACAAATGAATTTAGAGGAAAACCTTTTTCCACTTTCTCCTGAAAATATGATTTCTGTCAAAGGAACAGGAGGATTTGCTTGCGGCGAAGGTTTTCAAGTACATAGCAGATTTGCAGATTATTTTGCAAATGAAGGTGCCGTAATCTGGCAAGAAAACAAAGTTTAACAATAGCCTATTTTCTTGTACTATTTGTTAATTTACTAACAAAAAAATAAATTAAAGTTCTTAAAAACATACCACTTTTATTTAAATCTTCCGCAATTCTTTTCCAAACAGATTCTTTTTCCATCTGAAATTTATATTTTTCGTTTTTCGGATCATAAATCTCCGGATAATTCGAAATTAAAAGAACAAGTTGTTCATCATCGGTACTAGAAAAATCTTCCATACTTTTAACGTGTTGATGAACTGAGTTAAAAATACCTACTGTTTTATAAAGTCTACCTGAATTCGCAGCGAACAATTCGCTTGTATGCTCCTGAAGCAGATAGGCTACTAGTCGCCAGGCGAAAAGCGCCTAATTCGTCGTGAGGAAAACATACAGATTTAAAAAACGTTGCATATATACTTGCGAAATAGTCGCCGCTACTTACAATTAGTCGCAGTCGTCAACGACCGGCGACCATGGAGGAAAACGTACCTTTACGTAAATTCCGTAAATTGTACCTCCGCCAATAACTTGCGGATGTGAATGTTACGAATTCTAAGAATCTGACATAGTGGTCTTCTGGGAAATTTGGCTCAACAAATAAACTACCGGCTGTAGATCTAACATTAGCATTAGTACTAACGTTAGACCTAGAACTAGAAACATTCCGGTTTAGTTGTGCGTCTTTAAAGACGGCTAAATCTGTTAGTTCTGGTTTTAGTTCAATAAAAATAAACAAGATAGCGATATCTAGTGCTAACTAGCGCTGCCTAGCACTGTCACTAGAACGAACATTAGATCTAGAACTAGAAATATTCAGCTTTAGCTGTGCGTCTCTCAAGGCGGCTAAACCCGAATGTTTTTAGTTCTAGATCTAGTGTTAGGTCTAGTTTTAATCGCAATTCAGGGCTAGATAGTGGAACAATAAGCTTAATATGTATATTAAGCGTTAGAACTAACACTAGACCTAGAATCATTTGGCTTTATCTATAAATTCAAACACCTGAGTTCATGAGTTTGTGTATTGTTAATAATTTTTTGTAATTCGCTACGGTAATGGAAGCTATAATAGTACTCAAACGGGTGCTGTAATGAGACTCCTTACAGCATCCGATGCTGTAATGAGATTTTAGTAACATTTTATGGAACCTGTTTAAGTTGGTGACATTGGGTCATTAATTTTTCTAGTTGTCAATGTGACAATGTTTGTCTATGGATGTTTAAACACGTTCTTAGCATCGAATACAAGGTCCACAATGATGAGGACATTGAACTCTGAGCAATTTCTCTTATTTTAGAAGGTATACATGTCAGTTGAATATATTTTGTGTTTTGACAGTTTCTAATTGTCAATTCAAATTTCTATTTTCAAGTGTTACGGTGTAACCAACTGCTACATACCTATTTCCCTACATTGTCAAAATTTATATTATTTTTTAGAAAAAAAAAGGATAAAAACGCGAATTACAAAAAATAGCATAAAAAACACGTTTCATAAGACATGTTTGAAGTGCATTGAATTCGTGCACTTAATTCGAATTTGAATTCGTCTTATGAAACTTGTTTTTTAATATACTAATTTAATTTTTAATTTGTTGTGATTGTTATATACCACTACATCATAATGTTGTGTTTCAACATTTTTTAATCTTTGACATGTTACCTGAAGACGTTTTCAACGATTGTAGCATTTATTTCTATAAATAATTTCATCATAAAGCGACTTTCATTTTAAGTTTCATTTAAATAACTTAAGAAGTGTCAAAGAAACATAATAACAATAATTCTTACCAATGATATACAGTCTGTGTAGGTAAATTGTACTTTAACATCTTCATCATAACTTAAATGATAAAGAAGTTTTAAAACAATTGTTTGATGTCGATCATCAGCTGTGAAAGAAAAGGATGTTAATTATAATAATATAAAAATGTAATAAAATCTTACTTAATAAACTGACCAATTTAGGTAACAACCCAATTTTAATCATTTTTGATCTCAAATCCCCATCAAAACTTAAATTAAAAAGCAATTTTAACGATAAATGTACTAAATCAGCGTTATTCGATTGTAAATGTCGCGGTAATTTCTCAATAACGTTCAAATCGGCCATTACGTCCTTATTCGCTTGCATAATTGACAACTTCTTCAAAAACGAAACGACAATAATCAATAATTCCTCATGTTCTCGATCCAAAGCTTTCGCTAATAACCCAACAATATTTTTTCTTGTCATTTTTTCTTCAACATTTTCATCTTCAGCTATATTTAATAATAAATAAAACGCGACTCGAAGTAATTGTTCTTGTTTTCTTATTAATGTCCTATATCGTTTGATTTTTTCTGCTTCTGAGAGTTGTTTTTTATCGATTATGCTTTCAGTGGAATTTGATAAATCCTCATAAACGCTTCCATCCATAACAACAGTTGTTGTTTTTACATTAACTTCAGTAAAATTACCAGATTTTGGTCGAACTGGTTCTGGAATTCGACTGCGGGGTATTTCAGTCATACTTGCACTATTGGGGCAGCTACGTTTTACGTTTGGAGAGTCAATTTGAGGTTTTTGTCCGCCATCTAATTCAGATTTCCAGTCGTCGTAACGACCTAATTCGAAATCTATAATGTCCATACACAAAGAGCCAATCTAAAAACATAAAATTATTTTTTATAACAATAAAAAGGAATAAATAAAATATAAAAAAGGATTCTTTTTCTTACAAATTGAGGTATTTTTTTATTCATACCTTGTAATGTAATACAACATGATGGAATGTTGAGTAAGTTGAAAAACAAAAAAAAATAAAAATTAAATTTGTGCTTAAGACAATACTCTTTTTCCAATCTTCACGTAAAACTCTAGCTAAAGCACTTAGGAATGTTTCATTTCGCGATAGAGATTCTAAATTTTCAGGGTCTCGAGCCAATATAAGTATTAGATGTGAAGCCCTAACCTTATCTGAGATACCCTCATAAAGTAACTCCACATATTCATTTAAACAATTAATATTTGCGTTTTCATCGATATTAGCCATGTTTTTATTTGCAATGTCAGCATCTTTTGTATTTCCAGAAGATGATCCTTTGCGTTTTTTTAAATAATAGATGGTTTGTTCAACTTCCACAAGCCTTGAAGGGTGTAAAAGGTCGCATTGAGAGAGTACTTCTTTAGCCAAGGCTGTGCAATCTGTTCTTGAATTCAATAAAGGGAGTTCAATAATTTTTTTCATGGCCTAAAAGTTTAAATTAAACAAAAAGGTTTCAAAAAGACGTTAAATTTTAATACCATTTTTTCTCCATACAAAACACTTTCATTGTTTCCTAAAATCTGCACTTCCAAATCATAATTCAATATGAGGGCGTTTAATGTAGGGTGTACATCTAAAGTTCCGGGTTTGCGATCACTAAAAATAGTTAAAAATTAACCAAAAAAGTTAACTTAAGGGGGATATAACAATACGTTCTCATAAACTTTGCGTCTTCAGGATCCATCCTTTGTAACAGTTTAATGCTAATATAAATAATGTAGGCTACCACTAAAATAATACTTAATACCACAGTTAGTACATTGATTATTACCAATAACATGCAACGTTATCTGTACACCACATCGTTTCCTTTTTTTTACTATTTATTTCGAATTCGAGACGTTTTCCAACATTTTGTTGTTTGGTTTGGTCGATTTATTGACATTTGTGATTAAGTGACAGGTCGGTCACCTTTTTTATCGACCGCTATGAATATAATCAATAAACTTGTTATAACCTCATTTTTAGTTTAAATCTTAATATTTTTAGGAAAAATTAATGTTTTAATCAGAAACGGTAGAATCTACAAGAAATGCTACATATTTGTTCTTTTATAATTCGGAAAATGACGTCACTATCGGACCCATACATCACAACATGTCACACTATACTACTGTTCTGTGATGTCACACTGTAGTGCTCTATATAGAGTCTAGTGCTTAATATACATATTAAGCTTAGTATACAACAATTTAGCGCTGAATAACAATTTAAAATACTTAAAAGAACTAAGACTGGACCTAGAAACGTTCGGGTATAGGAACCCAACCCAAATGTGTCTAAAAATTAGTTCTAGATCTATCTAGTGTTAGTTCTACCTTCAGTTCAATGTAATATATAGCTATCTAACGTGGAATAACAACTAAAACTGGAGCTAACACTAAAAGTAACAATCAATCTAACAATTTAGCGTTGAACAATAATTAAGAGATACTAAAAACATTAAAATTTAGGTTCAGCCATCTTAAGAGTCACATGGAAAGGAGTTTTATCAACAAATATGCTAATTTAATGAAAATAACAGCAACATAGCATTATAACAAAGAAAAAACCGTCATATTAACATTACTTAATCTATTTAATTAATTTAGAACAGGGAATAAAAAGACAACTCACTTATCTTTATATAAAATGTATTTTAAGTCAAAACTCTTATAACTTAAGTCTTAAACTTAATCAAACTAGTCGAAAAGACCAAGACCCATGTCATCATCTGACTCTTCGGGTTCCTCTTCTTTCTTCTTTTCTTCAACAGGAGCAGCAGCAGCTGGAGCGGCAGCAGCCGCAGCTGGGGCTGAAGCAGCTGGTCCAGAGCCAACTCCTGAGCCAATGTTGGTGATCATATCTTTAATATTAACACCCTCAAGAGCTTTGGCAAAAAGCCCGGGCCAATATGGCTCAATGTCAACATTGGCGGCTTTAAGGATGGTTTGGATCTTCTCACCCTAAATTCGAATAAAAATAATTATTTTAGTTGATAAATACGTTTTGAAGGATCTAAGAAATTCGATTAGAATGGATTTATAAAGCAGGATTAAAAAAATATGAAGAGATTTGTAAACGGTTTTGAGGTTAGGTTGTTATTTTACTTACCGTAATTGCTACATCGTCGTCAGCCAAAATTAAAGAGGCGTAAACACAAGCTAATTCGTTGTTGCTGGCCATTTCTTACTTTTATTTATTAACTTGTTTGTGCAAGTCGCCTAAATGGACCTTAGCTCAGTTGAGAACAAGCACACGTGTTGGTGTTTGTGGAGGAAAGAAATAATTTCGTTCGGTGTGAAGTGCGTTCCTTTAAATCTAGTGAGAACAGCATCACCAACTTAACTCTAGTTACTATGTAGATAATTAATAATAAATAAGTAATTACAAATATTTATTATAAATTATTTAGCACAAATTAACGATAAATATTTGGTAATATTTAAATATATCTGATAATTGATATTTAATTAAACAAGGAAAAATGTTAATATCCAACTTCACTTTGTTTTGTAGTGTTTTGACAGTTTCTATTGCGTCGTTGCCGGTTTTCTAGAAGAAATCTCAATTAATTCATTTAATGATCTTGAATTCGTTTTATCACATTAAAAATGGGTAGGAAATGTGCAATATCGGTATGCATGTCAGATTCAACCTGCGAAAAAGACCGCGGTGTTACGTTTCACAAGATTCCAATGCACCCGGACATTCGCCCCAAATGGATGTCACTCTGTAAAATTCCGGAAGACAAGAAGCTAATGAAAGTGATCTATATCTGTTCGAGGCATTTCCTTAGTGCTGATTTCTGTAATTTTAAAGGAAAGAAGTATATGTTGAAACAGGGTGTACTACCGAGTGTATTCCCTTGGAGTAGTGTTAAAATCAAATCGGAACCAAATCAATCGATTGAACCTGAAGTGAAACTTGAGGAGGGCGAGTCGGAACTTGTAATATCACAAAATCAAAAAGACGAGGAGTCAAACAGTGAAAATACCATTATAGAAACAATTCAGAGTACAATTAAAGTAAGAAGTCCATCTAAAATGAATTTGAAAAGGGAAGGAAATTCTACAAATCAATCAACCACTATTGAGCAAAAAGTTAAAACTATCGATACAGCAACTGGCCCATTAACTTTTACACCAAACACTAAAATTGAAGCTTTAGATTTTAACCAAACTTGGTGTCCAGCTGTAATTCTCGAAGTTGATTATCAAGAAAATGAAGTGCTGGTTCATTTTGATAAATATTCAAATAAATATGATGAGTGGATTTGTATGAGTAGTTCAGGTTTACGTGCTGTGTCTAATTTGAATGAAAAAAAAACATCCTCTGATGGGTTTGACGTTGGTGAGCGTTGTATGGCTTCTTGGAATGATGCTAGAAAATTTCCCGCTACAGTTTCAAAAATTATTGATAAAGGCAAGTAAATTTAACATAAATTGTGGTTATGCAAAAATTTTGAGGTTAGTTTTAAAAATTTGACAGTTAATTGAGGTTATGTTATAACATTATTTATTTAAAAAAAAAAAATTTTTTTTAATTTTAATTATTCTTTTTTAATTTCATCATAAATTGTTTAAATTACCCGGTTTTATTTATTTACATTTTTATTGCGATTACATAGAACATATTATAAAAATTTTGAGGTTAGTTTTAAAAATTTGACAGTTAATTGAGGTTATGTTACAAAATTATTAAAAAAAAAATTTTTTTTAATGTATTTTAATTATTCTTTTTTAATTTCATCATAAATTGTTTAAATTACTCGGTTTTATTTATTTAAATTTTTATTTCGATTACATAGAACATATTATAAAAATTTTGAGGTTAGTTTTAAAAATTTGACAGTTAATTGAGGTTATGTTATAAAATTATAACAAAAACATTAAAAACATAATGTATTTTAATTATTCTTTTTTAATTTCATCATTAATTGTTTAAATTACTCGGTTTTATTCATTTACTTTTTTTATCAATTACATAGAACATAACCTCATTAAGAAAGAATGCAGTTTGTAAAGACTTAAAAAAAGTACAAACCGCATACCAAGCGACAAGTTTCCAAACACAAATCGAAAAACGTAGATAACGTGAAAATACAGTCCTTAAACTAATCGTGACTTTGCGATAAAACACCAATACTAACAGATAAAACATTATTAAGTTTCTGATAATGGAAATCAACAAAAAAAAATTGAAGTTGTATTTTAATTTAAAGATACCTACGAGGTTCAATTCGACGATGGTTTTGTAAAAGTATTGAAATCTCATCGAATGGCTAAAGCGTCGGGAAAAAATGTTCAATCATCACCGTTATTCGATCCAGCCAAAGGTTCGAAGCAGGAACGTCGCGACAGGAAACGAAAAATTAACGTTGCAGCTTTATTCGGGAAAAGGACGGCGCGTGCTGGAAGCCAAGAAGACAAAAATAACGCTAGTTCCACGGATTTGAGTGTTGACGATAATGCAACGATTGAATCTTGGATACCAAAGTAATTAAAAAGTTTAATTTTATTTTGTTTTTTTTAACTTAAAGTGTACTCAAACTTGGATTAAATTTGTTAATATGTTGAGTTGAGTGTGATTATTTTTTCTGAAATTTATTTAGATGGGAAAATGGAAAACCAGTCGGAAAAGATTCGTGTATTGAAACTAGTGATGGTACAAAAAAATCGGTAATCGTTCCCGATCCGCGTTTACCATCAAATTGGGTTAAACATCTTGCTCAAAGGCTTCATGGGGCTTCAGCTGGAAAATGGGATACAGTAATCTTAAAGTAAGTAAAAGATTTTTTATTATTATCTTGTAAGAAATACAATATCTAAAAAATAGATTGTTCTAATCTTAAAAAACAAGTATGTATATTGTTTATTATTTGAAATAAATTAATTATGTTTGGGTATTTTTGGTTAAAAATCTGTTTGCAGTGGTATTCAGTTTTAGCTTCAAATTTGCTACAGATTTCAAATATAAGGTGCGTCTTATTGAAACAATTTTTTTTAATTTAATACATGAAATTAAATACATTCAGCAAGTTATGAGTTATACTTTCATGCTATTTTTATGGGTTTGACTATAAACGATCTATATGTTAAGACAACACCTATTATATGGAAATGTCAAGAATGCTACACTAATACATAGATGGATAACTCTCTACATCCTGATGTGCGTTAAGAATCGATGGATAAGATAACGACTTATTCATTTACTAAATTTACTGATTTTCTTTGGCAATAAAATAATTAAATGGTTAAAAATTAAAGACAGTTTCAATGTACTTTAACTGGTTGTAAAATGTTTATTATTCATCTGACTACTTTCGCCTTTTAGCATCTTCAGAGACTTCGTTAAAAATGTGAAGTTACATCCATCTTATCAAAAAGTAACTATAGGATTGACTGATTATGTTGTAGAACATTTCTTAATTCCGAAAGATACCATAAAAATTAGTTAAACTTTTAAAATTAAAGATGAGCACGTTATAGTTTAAAATGGTTGAACTACGTCGTTGTTAAAAATGAAATAAAACTTTTTTTTTTGTTCTACAACATAATCAGTCAATCCTATAGTTATTTTTTGGTACTGTCTCTGACGATGTCTAAAAGGCGAAACTAGTCAAACGAAAAATAAAAATTTTACAACCAGTTAAAGTAGATTGAAACTGTCTTTCATTTTTAACCATTTATTCCTTTAATAGTAACATTTACTGGTTTAGCCTTTGCTGTAAAATAATTAACTGGTAATTGATTGATTTTGAAAGTAATGTCAGTGAAAATGATTGGCAGTTAGGAGAGGTAGATAAATGGCTTGTTAAGAACATCTAAAATAGTATGCTTGATGCAACAACGTTATTGATAACTAATATTGTAGCTTCAATTGGAGGATTTGTTTCCGCGAGAACCTCCCAATTAAATAACCAATGCAGAACATGCTCAGTGAAAAATCCACTCAAAATGGGGCAGTTACAATTTTTTTCATTGGCTTATTCGATAGTTTAGCAAAATTGAAGACTTCTACCATTTTTTATTTTTCAAACTGGGCTTTAGTTTTTCAAAAAAAAAAAAAAAAAATAATAATGAAAGTTTGAAAAACTTTGGAGACGTCACCGTCGTTTCGCACACGGTTGGTTGAAATAAAAATCAATAAAAGGTGCATGAACAAGATGCCACAAGAATCTTACGCGCTAAAGAGATCAGAACGATGCACGTTTGTATCTTCTTGATCTTACGCGAGAACTTCGTAAACGTCACCAAAGTTTTTATAGAGGGGATTTTGAATTTTAGGATCTGAAATTGTTACCAATTCTATTTTTATATAGTTTATCGATTTGAAAGACGGTTTTTCTATTCAATTGAGGGTAACGGCTCTATACATAGCAAAACAATAATAAGCGGACGAAAATAATGGTTGGGTTGGGTAGATACTAATATTATGATAATAATTTTAAACTGTAACTGATACGTTATCATAGAGTAGTCAATAAAGATATTACACAGTTCACTTTGCGAAATAGAATAAAGTTATTAATTATGTCTGCACTGTGCATCTCGGCGTATAATTACAGGATGATGCGATTTTCTAAGAGAATATTTCTATAAAATAATTTTTTTTGTAAAGAATATGGCTAGACTACAGAGTCGACGTACAACAGGGCGTGACAATGAATTTGAAAGTGATGATAGTGATTGTTTGGAGGACATAGAAGAACAATTATAGAAAATGTGTGCATCTGAAATCGAAAGTGGTGAAGAATCAGAAGACATAATTAACATAATTAGTCATACATCTGAAAGTAATAATGAAACGGACCAGAACAGCGATTGGCAGAATGTCACTGAAAGAGACACCTATTCCAGTTCCATCGAATTTTGTATGGGAGACAAGGTGCAAAGGCTGCAAGTTGAATGAGCTTGTTAGTAAAATAGCGACAGAAACAAATTTATATGCTCAAAAAATAATTAGCAGCTATGAAGTCTCTGTGCACTCATTATGGCATAATTGATATAATGTTACTGAATTAAAAGTATTCCTTGTGATAATTATCAACATGGGATTGATGCCTCTGCATGATATCAAAGATTATTGGAGCAAAAGATTCCACTTATACATTCAATTTTATAATAAAATTTTTAAACGTAAACGATTTCTACAAATACTTTGGACAATGCATTTAGAAACCATGCCGCAAACGGACGATAAAGAAAGAATTTTTCTAGATAAAGTTGCCTATTTTCTTAACTATTTGGACAAAAAATTCAGACAAGATTTTGTACCAGCATAGAAAATCGGTAGATGAATCCATTGTTGGATTCAAAGGAAGAATTTCAATCAAAACGTACAATTCCAAAAAACCAAACATTTAATGGATATTTATACACATTACCATATTTTGGACAATAAACGACAAACGCACTAATTTACCCCGATTTACCAGTCACAAGCCGGATTATTTTACACCTGTAAAATAATCTACAACAGTCAATATTCGAAGCTATAGAATACCATATTTTTACCGATAGACTCTATACTAGCATCATACTTGCCAAAAAATTACTTAGTAGTAATTTACAATGTCATTTAACGGGAACGGTTATGACGAAAAGAAAAGGAACACCTTTCTGGATGAAATCACCGAAATTAAGGATAGGGGAAACAATTGCTTATCGCAAACATGGAATATTGTTGCTTTCATGGCGTGATAAACATGTCGTTGCTGTCAACGTGGGGAACGCAACCAGTTTTCAAGCCAAGTACAATATAATAAAAGTATGGGCGGCGTCGATTTAGTAGATCAATATACTGCAAGCTACTGCTTCCTTCGTAAAACCCTAAAATGGTGGAGCATCTCCTACTAATACCAATAAAAACATTTCTCACAAACAATTCAGAGAAAAACTATTGCTTGATCTTGTCATCATCCAGCGACAAGGAACAACGACTGGAATGTTACATATAATTACACTGCATCTCCAGTATAAACACAAGGATTGTGCAGTTTGTTCTAACCGAAAAATTCCAGGTAGTAGAAAAGAGACTTCGTGAAACTTGTGACAGAAAACCGGGATTGCATGTCGGAGAATGCTTTAAACGGTATTATAAGCTGTAAACAATAAAAAATCTTACCGTTTTGAATGTTTTCCAAAGTAAACGCTACCAAGCAAATAAGCGACTGGTGAACTCGGTGCGGACCGGCTGGTACGAACTTGCAAATCTAGCGTGGACCGGCTGGTATGAAACTGCGAATGTAGCGCGGACCACAAAGGGCTAAGCATGAAGGAAATAAAGCAGAATAGAGTAAACTAATTCAGGAGGATATAGAACCGATTGGACATATAAATTCAAGCGTTGTTAAGAATATAGTCAATATGAGGCAAAGACGATTGTTGAGAATCAGAAAGAATGTTATGATCTCTTACGTATTTGAATTGTTTGAAATTAGTTGAGTTCAAGGATTAACGATTCTTAACGCTGTTCATGTTACTCATTTAATTAATAAAATTCTTGTCTAGGAGACATGATAGTACTTATAAGAAATTTACAGTTACTGTAAACATGTAATTAATGGCTTTTTGGTAAATATTAAAATAATAAACAAATAAATATAACTTCTTATCTTGCATTCAATTTCAATTTATTTTAACGGAACCGGTTTCGACTAGTTTTACTTAGTCATCTTCAGCCGAATGGCCAATAAAATAAAATCAACATCACAAAGAGCAGACATATAAAAAACATTTTAAAAATATGAAATTACACAGTGTTATTTTATATATCGTTTGTATAGGAACTTGTGTAGTTTTTGTCTTTTTACACTTTAATTGTTTATATATTGTATTTTAAAGTGTAATTTCATATTTTTAAAATGTTTTTTATATGTTTACTCTTTGTGATGTTGATTTTATTTTATTAACCATTAGGCTGAAGATGACTAAGTGAAACTAGTCGAAACCGGTTCCGTTAAAATAAATTGAATTTTGTAAGATAAGAAGTTATATTTATTTGTTTATTATTTTAATATTTAAACGAAACTTGCAAGATGGATATCAACAGTTATTGGTAAATAGTGACAAAATGGATGCATTAATAAAAATATATTATTCAAATAACGGAATTGTATTGCATGTATGGTATTAACTCCATCAATTCTATGAATATACAGTCAAACACAATGATCATCTCGTAAACTAATAAGAGGCACAGATAGCCAATGTAACAGATGTATGCAGACGCCCAATCTCGATTTGTTGGAGGCGAGTTGATAGAAAGTGCTAAAGTAGGGTGATCGGTCACTGCTTTGATTGATAAGTTGCCATGAGATTTGTGCTTGGACTATCGACTACTATAGATCTATGCTGTAGTCTTAAATTTCAACATAGACGGTACTGACATCGCATGTGTCTGAATGTTGATTATCAAAAAAATAAAAAAGAAAAACAGGCGTTTTTGAGCTCTCCCCATATTAGTCAGCGACTATTTAACCCAACCCAACGTTATGAGCCCATAATTTCTGTTGGAATATTCTTTTAATTTTATATTTTATAAACTTCTACGACTAGAGTCATTTTTGTTTAGTACAGCGTGCACTTAGGTTAAAACGTGTACGTTATATAATTCCCGGCTAACAGTTGAGTCGCCTTGAAAGGTTTTGAACCTATTGTTCGAGTGAGAATATCGCCGTCGCTGAAGATGTTCCCTTATGCAGATCGAAATGGACGATTTTGTTTTAATACAATCAACTCGATGCCCATTTTCACCTCTGTGGATACGTGAACAACAAGTGTAGAA